ACTGAGGCAAGATCTTTCGTGCTCTACGCAACATTCCTAATCTAGACGAGATCTTCTTTCCCAAGTAATTAATATGGAACTTCCAAGAAAGTGCTGGGTCCATAAAAACCCCTTGATATTTAAACTTTTCTAATCTCTCTAAGTCTCGGCCGTTAGATGATATGGAGAACGACTTAGAGGCAAGCCTTTGATGGGTACCCACAAGCATTATTTTAGATTTGGTAGAGTTGAGTATTAGGTAATTAGCACTAAGCCACTGAGTAACACTATCTAAATCAGATGACAGATTGGACTCAATGATGTTAACATCGTCACTAGCAAAGTGAAGAAGCGTATCATCAGCATATTGCTCAACATTAGAATATCTAACGCCATGGGATATGTCATTAATATACATTATAAAGAGCAAGGGCCCTAAGGCGCTACCCTGGGGGACTCCAAAATCGAATTTTTGAGGCTTTGAAACTATCCCATTAACACAAACACTTTGAGAACGATTGGTTAAATATGAGAAAAATTCTCTGCTCCTGTCTGTTATACAGATGGCTGTCGACGTCTCATGTTTCTAGAGCCAATAGATGGATATGTATTGATAGGCCACGTCTTCAAAAAAATTTCATTACCAGTCGGAATGCATATGTATAGTCACTGCAGAAATTGGTGTACTATGGAAGACAGATGTACATCGATCAATACTGGACCAAGCGGAAAAGATAAAATTTTATGCCAGCTGAGTGACTCAGACCACTTACAACACACTAATGATCTGAAACCCATGGCAAGCTTTGGTTCTAGGGGCACAGAGGTAAGAATTTGAAAGTTTTCTTTAACTTTATGCTGCTCTTCGTAAATCTATTGTATTGTTCAGGTGATTTTCTTTACCCTTCTGTGATTCCTCAAGTAATGGGTGATGCTATAAATTCACCACAAATTTTGTTTAATTTGAGCTTAAAACATCATTGACTCTCTGCTCGATCGAACTGAAGTCATTTCCCCTGAAGTGCTTCTGCTGTCATTTATGTCAGTTCACTCAAACTTCTTTCAATATTCGCTGGTTTCTCTTCGTATTTTGAGTTTGTAGGTTTCTGATCTATTATAGTTTTAACTTTAACGACACCCGTCAAATGCAGATCACGAAGACATAATCATTTTGCATAAAATAAAACAAAGGCGCGTTCAGTCGGCCTTCTGCATGAGACGAGTTAAAGTTACACACTCTCAGCAACAGGGAAAAGGAAGACAGTGACTGTAAGTTGAGATGGCCTTAACAGAAAGTTTTGATCCAAGATTCTCGAAGGAATGGAAAGAATGAAGGGACAAACTGTTTCTGATCGTGCTTACGGCAATCAGCTCTGACAGTTAACCATTCTCTCTGACAGTTGTTCAGTTTTCAGTTTTTCATGTTAAGCAATGGAAGTGTTTGAACTGATGACAAAATACTCGCTTAATTCCATGGATTGTACCTAATTTCATCTGACAGAAGTTGGAAACGAACTCAAAATCACTTAAGTGCCACTCTCGCTAAAAGCGCTCCTCTCGACTTCCCGTCGGAAAAGAGATTTTTTTTTATTTTTTGCCCATGAAAAGGGTTTAGGACACATGTTTCAAAAATAGTTTAGTTGTTCTCCAATTCTCTTTTTTTGCGTCGCCACAAGCCAAAAATAATTTTTGGCCAGACCACCTCTGTGAACAGCGATCAAAAGTGTCAATTTCAAAGATTTTGTCTAGCGCGCAGCGACTGCAATAATTTAGCTCACGGAATTCTATCCTGCTACAAGTTACAAGGTGTATTCAGTTAGTTCACAGACAAAATATGGAAACTTCAGCTGAAATATTTTTCATACCAGCGTGATCAGAGGAGACCCTGCTCTTCGACCTTAATTTGCATATCAAAAATTCACTACATTGTACGAAAGAATTCTCAAAATGCAGGCGTTGATCGGGCCGAAAAAGTATATCAGTGCACAGTTTATACACCAATGAGGTCACGGATTGCCTCAAACCCGCGGGTATATCTCTAGCTTCCATCCACCAACTTCTTAAAAACAACGCAATTCCATGTGTTTGCTCAATTGCGCTCGTGTCAAAGATCATTTGCATGATTCTTGGAATTGCCCAAGATCTCCTTTTGACAGTTCAAACTTCGTTCGTTTATCTTCTACGTTGAGAACTTTAGGTTTTCACAGCAACTGAATGGAGATTAGATGCCAAGTTGTCCTAAAACGTTGCGTAAACGTGACCGGTCGTCACGCTTGCGCGCTTGCGTGACTTACAAGTAGACAAAGGTTATCGGAAGGCGCCTTCTCGATAATTTACGTTGAAATATCAGGTCATGAACTATGCACAATGTGGAGAAGATCAAAATTAAAGAAAAAAATTTGGCACTCTGGTCATAACAGACATATCGCGTTGCTTAAAAGGACACAAAAACAAGTCAAAATAGGTTGCAGTGTTTATATTTACAAAACAACACGCATACACTCCGAAACAATTCTTGCAGTTTCTCCGAAGATTTAGTATACGGAACCCGATGAACTAACCCTCTTTCTGCAAATTTGTTTCCGTCATTAATGATGTTACGCTCTTGTGGACCACAACGGTTTTGAGCGACAAACTCGACATTTCCCTGCGACCATCAAAATCAACTGGACAAACCCAGCTTGATATATGTTTCGCAGGTTCTACGAGTTGGAACCAAAATTAGTTAATTTAACGAATTAGAATCGAAAGTTATTCAAATGGACTGAAGAATTTTACATTTTAATGAGAATTTTATCGTTTAAATGTTTACTTGATTCACGGAAAGCAAAGATTGGAGTGGCTTTGGGTATTTCAGCCCTGATTTGGAAAAAAATAAAACAGTTAGTGGTATGTTCTAAACACCAGAACACCTGAAAGGACACTGGAAATGTAGTAAAAGTATTTTTTAGCATCCAGAGAAAAAAGAAGAATATGAGGCAGTGAAAGGAGACGCCAATTGTCGTAAAAGCTGCCACCAGCTTGTTATTGAACTCACTAAAATTTACCTGAAAGGCATTAACTTTTTTTGTCGCGAAACTCGTGGAGTTTAAAACTTTGAAACGACGTCCGATGAATCCTGAAACTGGAGTTTGAGTCCATTGGTAAACTATGCCAGCTGGTCTCATGAGCAGATCAAGCTCTCACGAAATTTGACAGTTTTGAAGTTTTAAGCGGATGCAAAAATCGAGACAAAAATTCGTCATGACACAATTTGTCCTTTGATTTTGTCAAGAGAATTCTGGTTTTGTCTGCTATTGCAGATAGCCCAGATAGGCACTTACGAACCAATTTTTAGTTAAATAATAGCCTTCACTCTCGAGAAATTGCAAATATAGTACTCATGTGATACGAATACAACTTAAATTCCGAAAACTTCAAAAACATCTCCAGTCAGTCTGGCTTTCTTTTACTGCCTCACATTTTCCCTTGTGCTGTGGCTGTTAACAAGTACCTCCACCGCATTTCTAATGTTTCTTAAAGTGTTAAGATGTTTAGAACATAGCAATAACCTTTATTTCTTTTTCCATATCGTGGTCAAACTGACCGGAACGAAACAAAATTAACTTGTAATCGAGGATTTCGCTAGTAGTACTTCAAATAACTCGATACGTCGTCCCAGGAGGGAAATCAGGGCTTAAATATCCAAAGCCACTCCAATCTTCGCTTTCCACGAATCAAATAAAACTTTTTAAAAGTTTAAATTCTCATTAAAATGTAAATCAAGATGCTACTTTTAACATGCGTGGTCAACTGTACCGCGGGCACGGCTTTGTCCAATAGTCCAGTGGTCAGTGCACTGGGTTCCGAGTCGGACGACCCGGGTTCTAGTCCTGGCTGGGGCAAGGCGTTATGCCTTTGAGACGTGCGGGAAAAAAAATGCGAGATCTACCTTTAGGCTTGGCTAAATCTATATATTACTGCATTTATCTTCTCGAGATCAATGTCGGCCTGGTTTCCAAGGCCTTAGTCGGTGTACTGTTCTCAAACTTTTGCAAACTCAGAGAGAAGCTCAAAATAGCTGAATGCCTCTAGAAACATATAATAAAACAATTATTGAATTCAGTTTTTGATATCACGCTCAATCATCCAATGATGGTTTTTACTCTAGTGTCAAAAAATGGATAGACCATGGTCATCCATGTTTCTGCCATGGCTCTTCACAGGACTTCCTCCAACTCTGTCTGTAATAATACCCTTAATTTACCAATAGAACGATCGTTCAAGTATGTCCAATACTGCGGCTTGATACAAGTCGTCTAATGTATTCACGAGTCGTACGACCCGTGCCCCTCACTAGGGAGTCTAACAGTTTTTCACCTCACACCACTGAGCCCTGATGGTGGTGCGCCGATTCGTACGAGTCGTACGATTCGTCGAGCCATAAATATTCATTACAGAAACCATGGAAACGAAACGAGTCGTAAGGCTGTGCTATCTATCCATGAATATCATTTGGGAGATTTTTTCACCATAAAACCACCGTGCAAAGTGCACAAACAAGAAGATCCTCGAATATACAACCTTGTCTTTGAAGACGCTCGCCATTACTAGAGCATCGAACAAGTTTGAATGGTTGCCTCAGAAACAAATGATGCATAACATTTCCATGGTTTCCGTAATAAATATTCATGAATCGACGACTTGAACGACTTGTGCGAATCGTCACACCACCATCTGGGTTCAGTTCTCTCAAAGTGGTGAAAAAATATCTAGGTCTCCCTATTGACATTCATGGGTAGACAGCACAGACTTTCGACTCGTTTCGTTTTCATGGTTTCCGCAATGAATATTTATGAATCTACGACTCATGAATATATTAGACGACTGGTATCAAGCCGTGGTATTGGACAACCCTCCAAAAAAGAGTAGGACTTAAAATAATTAATTAATTTTAAAATATTTGTGGACAAAAAGATCGGGCCATGTATGTTTTACTTGCTCAAACGGGAAAGCAATCATACTTTAAAAAATTCTCACACCTGCACAGTTGTGTCCATCCCCTCTGAATCCAGGATCACAAGAGCAGTTGAACAATCCCTCTGTATTTGTACAAGTGGCGTTGTCCCTATTGCAGTTGTGGGTATTCTGAGCACACTCATCAATGTCTGCAATGAAATAAACACAATGAAATATGCCACCATGATTGTAGGGAGAGAATGAAAAAAAAAATTTATATATATATAAATAATAATAATAATAAAAATGGTCGAAACGACAACAACGCCTGCTGATCAAGTTAAACAGACAATAATTGTGTATCTAACGGAAAAATAAGAGTGAAGTATAATCTGGATCATCAAACACAACTTCTACCAAGACCGTACTTATGATCATGATTACGAATACCTAAGCTGAAGGGGAAAAGGGGAGAGAGGGCTCCACTTTATGACCATCATGAGTCTTAGTAATAACAGGTTAGTATATACGATGACTCTACTTCGGCCAGTCGCGTAGGTTTATTGCGGTAATGAAATAAATTATAATGCTCTAAATAATGTTCAGTACCTGTGCAGTTGTGTCCATCTTGAATGAATCCAGGTTTACAAATGCACTTGAATGATCCCTTTGTATTGGTGCAAGTAGAGGTTGTATAGCTGCAGTTATGGCTGTTTTTAGAGCACTCGTCAATGTCTGAAATCAAATCAGGACAGTGTTTCAGGTATGGCGATAAATAATAACAACGAGAAGAGGATGAGTCTGTATAACGAAAGTATATGAATTATTTTGTACCGAGTAGTATTATACATGGGGTTCATGGGCGTTTTTAGGAAGTAAAGAATGCACGTGTAATCTTCCATTTTTAACATGTTTTTCAGGACGATATCTTTTCATTTATGTATATTGTTACGGTATAATCTAACTGACAGAAAGAAAACTAAAAATCCTACAAACTCAACTAATTTCATAAACAACTTGTAGTGTTCTTAATGAGGAGCGGTTCCCTAAGGGAAGTACAATAATAAACCTTACTTAAGCCTACTACAGTCTTTATCACAGTTGTCTCCAAAGTTCCTCGAAATGAACAATCTTCCACTGTAACTTGGTAACTCCAGACAGCAGCAACTATTACTACACGAACGAGTCCTTATATACATTAACAAAGTATTCTAGAACATCCCGGAAGCTTACAACACAACTATTTTGGTAGTATTACATCATGACTCCGTAGTGTGCTAAAATGTTCTTGAAAATTCCTTGGCATGCATGTTGGCATGATTAGGCATCTAGAAATTTCCTGATATTTATCTAACACTTATTACCCTTAACACCATCCCTGCTGAATCCAGGATTACAAGAACAATTGTAAGATCCCTCGGTGTTTGTACAACTAGCATTTCCGCTACAATTGTGGAAATTCTGAACGCTCTCATCATGTTTAAAATTATATGATGTGTTATGCTATTAGTCAGCATTGTCGAGTGAGGGGCTGCGGAGAGGATAATTCTTCACCCGACTTTTCCCGGCACTGAATGCCTATTATGGGCTAGAGTGAAACTGCAACTTGAAAGAAGCAGGATGGTCTTTGAAATAGAAAATGAATGCAACACCTACGGAAGGTGGTTCAAGTTCTTTCCTGTTCATCCTGAACAAGACACAATACCCCGAGTTGAGAAAAAGAGCGTGAAAACTGAAATTGCGCCCCCATCCTTTTTTCCTCCCAGTGTCAGAAGTACAACCGATTCTAAATCTCGAACCCTCTGAAGAAATCGACCATTATGTTAAAATTTAAAAAAAATTGATTTCTATCATTTTAAGTGTTACCTTTTTCACAATCGTGGCCGGTGAATCCAGACGCACATAAACATCGATATCGTTTTCTTGTAAATCCCGACTGACAGGTGCCGTAATTCCCGCATGGAGCTTGAGCGCAAACATTCTTCATTGAAAACAAACAAACAAAAGAAATGGTAATAAAAAAACTAGTCTGCATTAAACGCATTGCATAACTTCGCGAGCTAAATATACCACATTTTTAGCATGAGGCGACAAGAAGAATTGTGATTCCCCTGGATGGGATGTCACGAGTAACTGTTTAATATCTTGACAGCCTTCTTCGACATTTCGCTGAGAACCTGAGAACAACTTGGTGGAGAGAGAAATTTCAAAAGCCTGTGTGAAATCACTCCCAGCACTTCGAAAATCGGGAAGGGGCGTCTGTAGACAGGCTGTTATAGAGTAAATCGTCTTTGCCAAGGGCACTACTTGGTAATCCCTGTCACAGCTCAACTGTATCGTTATATCCATAGTCGGAACTACTCTTGAACCATGGGATGTATCTAGTTTTTTCGTTTATTAAACCTGGTATACTCAAGCCTAAAAAAACCAATTAAAATTAACTACATTTTACAGAAATGCCTTCGAATAACCATTCCATCTATTCTTGCCCACGAAAAATATTTGAGATGAATTAAGTTTTTTTAAAAAATTAGAAGATCCTCGCAGCTAAGAACACTACTGAAACTAGTAGTTGTAAGTAGGACCTGAAAAAAAAATTTTTTTTTTTTTTTTTTTTTTTTTTTCAGGTCCTACTTACAACTACTAGTTTCAGTAGTGTTCTTAGCTGCGAGGATCTTCTAATTTTCATCTTTCCACCGCAGTGCAAATATATGAATTTTCATATATCTAATTCTTCAAGTTTTTTTTAGTTGTGCTTTCTTTATTACATGAAAAACAGCGATCAATTGTTTACTCAAGACCGGTGAACAACGCTCTGAAATGACCAAGAAAAATTGCTTGCTTTTGCTAATAGAATTGGATGTCCTCAAGGCACCCAAAGGGCTTTTATTTTTTGTAAGTGCTTATCTACAAAAGATCCGTCACGTGTCTGAAATTGTATAGAAATAACAAATAATGGATAAAAGGCGTTTTTCAGACATGAATATAAAGAGTGCCCCTTTAGCTCTCATGAATTGCTGAAGGAGAATGTAGTGCAATTGAAATTTAACAACTGGTACCTTAGTTCCGTGGTATACATAGTTCGCTGCTTTCACCAGATCCTCATCATACTCTTTACCCGTTGAGTTATTCAGTTCACAGTTGTGTGCTTCTACTCCGTTTTCTCCAAAATAAAAGTTAACACTGACGCAATTGTGGTCCAAGTAGCAACGATATTCACACGTGTCCCTGTCAATCACACTGATGTTTGCTATGGTGTGGTTGACAAGACGTTCACCCACGAAGAACAAAGTGGATGGAAATGCCAATATACGGCATTGATCTGAACATTCAAATCAGTACGAGTTAAAAAACCAAATGGGTCATCAATTCTGAGGGTCTCAAATATTTTTAATCTCGCTGTTCGATGCACGTGGTACGTACATCGATAATTATGACATGTTCTAGTATGCGATTCCAGCATGCTGAATCGATTAAGCGAGTCTCGAAAATGCAGGGAGTTCTTTCGTTCTCCGCTTCTAAGCAGCAAATTTGGCACTTCTTTAAATTAAGCTAAATATTTATTTGCCGTTTTCGCCTTGCCTCTTATTGATAGTTTTCTGGTAGTAAGCGATTACCGGGTAAACAACACTCAAGTGCGGCAGAAATTTATCTTCCTGCACAAGTTATATCCGTTATGTCATAAGATAATTGGTTCGTGCTCTAAGTGAGTGTATATCGTGTTATGGATTCACACGGGAAGTTTAAAGAGCGCTCGAGAAGCTAAAAGTGCTCTTGGCTTCACCTCGGGCAACTCACTTCTTTTGTGCTCTGCAAACTGCCCTCGAGCATCAGTTTCACGATGAGCACACGCTAAGAACAAACTATGCTTAATTTTACATTGCGATTTTTATTTTCTTTTTGTTCTGTTTTGTTTCTCCATCATTTATATCAATTAGCCACCTGACGAGTGAGAAGTTTTAATGTCCCCGCTTTTTCGCGCTCAGTACCCATTTGCATTATTGAAAACATAACTGCTTTCCCTGCATGTCAACAATTCTAAAATCTTTATGACACAAGCGAATAATTATGTACCAAAAGAAAGATTCGTATTCCACAAGAGAATCTAAAAAATAAGGAAATGGAAAACATTTCATTTCCAACTAGTTAATGCATCAATTTGTCTTTCCTTAAGTACAAGACTTTTCATAACTGTAGGATCTTTCTTGCGAAAGTCTTGTCATTATATTTAGATGACCTCGATAAAACTTAAGTTTATTTTTATATGAGTGTTTCAAAAGAATTCAAAACTATAAGCAGGGAAAAATATGAGTAGTTAAGAAATTCTGAAGATTGTTTGGTCATAACTAAAAATACTTTGCAAACATACGTTCGCATGTAGTGAAAAGGAATCGAGAATATTTTGAATAAATAAAAAGATAACAATGCATTGAATTGGATCATGAATTTTGTAGTTATTTTGTTAGTTTAGGTTCTACACTTATATACGAGAATTTAAGTATTTCAGTTCTTGAGAATTCGCCTTACCATTTTTAACTTAGCAAATTGTATAGCTGAGAATTTTAAAGGAAAAAAAATAAAAGTTCCTTATACACAAATGCAAGATTTGAAACCTACCATCTGGGCAGGATAGAACTAGTCCGTGCGAGAGAACCACAGAGGTGAAGAACAAGTGGAGAAAAACTCCCATGTTCTTAAAAACCAGCTGAAAAGAGATCCTTTCGATGTTTTGTAGCTGTTGAGGAAATCAAGAAGCTTAACAGCAGTTTGTTGATTGCGATGTACCAGCAATTTAACGCTAAACTTCGTAGAAGCATGATAGCCAATTACATTTGGATATATGAAAGATGTCTAACAGCCCGTCACAAAGACATTGTTAGATTAAATGATGTGTACTAAAACAGATAATTTTGTCAGTTTTCTCCTCAGGCAGTTACTTTCATCTTTCACCCGCTAAGGGACACTTCTTTATACGTTTCCGTAATTATAAGAAGCATCAAAAGAAAAGAAAATATTTGTGAAACTCATTAAAAATGCAAGCGCACAATAAAGGCCCACAAGCCTTTTTCTTCAGATTTCAAATTGCTAACTCTGTTGTATTCTGACCAAATTTTCTAGGAGATTTTAAGGCAAATTTTGAAAAAAATATGGCTTCACTGTCGCAAACTCTGTTGTTCAGTATCGCTCCCGCCAAGAGAGTGCCTCTCGACTTCCGTCGAAAAAAAGTTTTCCTTTATTTTTTTGGACATAAAAAAAGAAAACCGTTTGAGACATGTCTCAAAAATAGTTTGGTTGTTCTCCAGTTCTCTTTTCTGTGTCACCACAAGCTAAAATTGAATTTTTTTGGCTAAACCGCTGCGACTGCAATAATATAGCTCACGGAATTTTCTCTTGCCACAAGTCACAGGATTTATTCAGTCGGAGTATAGATAAAATATGGAAACTTTACATGAAATCTTATTCATACCAATGTGATCAGAGGAGACCATCTCTTCGGGCTAGAAAAGAATATCAGTGGAAAGTTTATACACCAACTTGGTCACTGATGGCCTCTAGCTTTCATCTACCAACATCTTGAAAACAACGCAAATCAATGTGTTTCTTCAATGCGCTAGCGTCAGAGCTCATTCGCAAAATTCTGAAAATCAACCAAAGCATCATTCTGACCGTTTAAACTCCTTTTATCTATCTCGTACATAATGGGTTTTAAGCTATAATAACAACTAGTAGGAAAAAGATCCTGAGTTGTCCTGAATCGTTGCATAACCTTGATCAATCGTAGCGCTTGCATGACTTACTAGGTAGACGGTCATGGACAGGCGCCTCCTCGATAATTTTCGTTGAATCAGGTAACGAACCACACACAGTGTGGAGAAGATCAAAAGTAGCGGATGGAATTTGGCACTCTAGTCATTACAGGAATAATGCATAGCTGAAAAGGACACACAAACATATTAAAATGCGTGTCAGTCCAAGACTAACACAGAATTTCGGCATTTTGATCAAGCGTACCATCATTATTGGTATCCGGTCATTTTGTCCCATCATTCAGTTGCAATAAAATCCCCGGAGAACAGCTATCTACTGCTGCTGCGTGCGGCATTTCTTAGAGCAAAGTAAATGTGACATTTTCAATAGAACAACCTATTGTTTATACTTGTGACTTTCTTAGCAATAATTGCTAATTAGTGTCTCGTGCAGGGTCGGTGGGATTTTTTTCTGCTTTTCTTTTTTTCCCCTTTTTTTTTTTGACGCTTAGACGAAATCAACTATACATTAAGCATATTTAAGAGGGAAATCATACTTTTTCAGCATATATGAGTACTAGACGACCAAACTGGTTGGGTATGAATGGTCTTAGCCGGGTAAGAATCAAATGAGTACGAAGAATATCCCAAGGCACGTTATGGCTGAACCTCATCGTTGTATGATAATATCACATATTGTATCAGGGAGAATCATGATTCACGATCATTGAAAATCGTAATGTGCTCGTTCTTTTACGACAAGAAAATTGTTTGAACAGGATTCTCGCGCAATAATTTTCGTAATCGGTTTCAAATAAATCAACGTTTTCAGAAAAGTGATTTGCTTTTACAGCCGGCCTCGTTTTCATTTAAGAAAGAATCACACGTTTACGCGTGTTTTCGGTTGATAAGAGCTTTGTAATAGCGATAAAAAGCTGAACAAACTCAAAAATATTTCTTAGACAGCAACTGTTCGAATTTTGTATCTCAACTTTAACAGCTTTATAATAGATCTGTTCACGAGCGACACCTGTAACTAATTTGTCAGGGGGAAAAAATTACATGTTATTTAAGTATCGATCGCCGAGGCAAACTAAAAAAGTGCCAAGAGAATATATACAATTCGCACTCTTTGAGTGTAAAAAACGAAAAAAAAAAAGAAGATTTGGTGATCAGTTTTCTTTCGTGACCGCTAAGATTGTAAGCATTAAATTTTTTTCGGTTCGTGACCAGTTAGAACAATTTGCACCCATATGCATTCAGCTGAGTTACTACGTACCCGTAGTAATAAAACTTGTTGTTGTGCCACTTCAACCCGCCTGATCATCCACGCCATTATACCCACCCGGAGCACCCCCTCCTCCTCCTCCGGAAGCTAGTAGCAGAAAATTATCTGTAGCATAAACAAAACTTCCTTCCCCTCCTCCAGTACCAGCATTACCCTCCACAGATTTTCCAAGTTGAGCTGCAGTCTGGTTTGTACTGTGTCCGCCTTCAACCTCCACCGAATCTCCTCCTCTTTGTTCCACCAGGATATTTAGCACAGTTCCATCATTCAATATGAACTTCCCTTCTTTAAATGCTCCCTTTCCTCCATAAAAATTATGTTCCTGGAAGGTATCCATATTTTTGTGAACGTCTTCCTCCTCGAGCTCTCCAGGCTTTGATGAGATAGCGGATGGTCCGCGTAACAGCGAACGTCTGTATATTACTAAAGAGTCTTCTTCGTCCACCGGTTTCAAATCCAGCAAAAGAAGTAAAAAGGAATTAGATCTGCTACTTTGAGTGACAAGATCCAATGAAAAATGTAAATTGACATCAAAATGTTAATAAAAATCAAGTTAATCAGTTGGAAAGTCAGTCAGTCAAGCAATAATTCCTTCTGTCTGTCTGCCTGTTTGTCTTTTTTTCCTTTTTTTTTAGACAGATGTGTCCTTCCCTCACAACCCAAACATTCTTACGTTCACAAGATTGTCCATTTCCAAAAAATCCAGTTTTGCAGGCACAGCGATAAGAGCCTGGAGTGTTATGACATACGGCGTTGGTACCATACAGAGATGGAGAAGCGGTGCATTGGTCAATATCTGTGAAAAAAGGAAGATACCAAGAATCGCTTTTTTCTCAGACTATTTTAAGAACTTTCAACAAGGGCTCACTTCCTCAAAGGAAGGTGATTTTTTTGCTTTCTTTGTAACAAATTCTGTAACTTTCATAGGAAAATGTCTTTTAGCCGCCCTTTCATCACCTCAGAATAACAAAAGAAATGGGCAAAGATTTATTGTGGAGTACTCGTCCCTTACCTTTCAAGTATCGGAAAAAGTTTGCAAAACTGAAATCTTTAAGACCAAGGTTATCTCAGTAATAAGCATCTTATTATAATTATTTATGAAGAAAAAATGAGCCTACATAAATGATAGTTTCCACATGATATGGTTGGGGTGGGATGGGGAGGGTTGAATTTAAGACCCCTCCCCCTTTAGTTCTGCCGTCTAAGCTTACGTTCCCCTTAGCCCAAAAGCGACACTCCGGCATTTGATCTACCGCGCAAGAGTCCAACCACGCCATAGAGAAATTTTTGAGAATATGCACGCAGGAAGTTGAATCGTGAAAGTTATGAATACTGCTGGCACACTCTTTAATATTTGTCGCTTCAAATGAGTAGATTATTGCACATTATACAAAAACGTGGGACAAAATATGTCGTGCTCGTTTTGTCCTAAACTGGCGAGGCCTAACGCTGTTTTGTGAAATGCCATTCCTTTTTGTCGTCCCAACTTAGCATCAAAGAGCGCCCATTGGATGTTAAAAGAAGGATTGTTTTATAATATTTTACTATTCTTTATAAAATATGTCAAAAAATGTTGAGAGATTACGGCAAAACTTGCGATTCTTACTCGTTGTTGAGCCCGCCAGGTTTGTCTTGTTGGTACTCACATCGCGAAGTCAGAACTTCTTCAAAACTCTCTTACATTCATCAAAACTCTCACAAAAATCACAGTATACTTAATTATAAATACGAGCATTGGCAATATGATATTATAGCTGTGAAAGAGAAGGATTAGGATTGATCTTAAGATCACTTTAAACGCTATTGAAAGACACGCTTCGATATAAAGGTAACAATAATTGTTTGTCATGCATTACGGAGAATAACTTGCCTGTCAGCATGGCGTTTCTATGGGGAAATCGGTCAAGTGATCAACTCATGCTAAAGGCCTATTGATTTGATATTCTTCCAAAGACATTTCACGGGTAAGTGGATGTGATAACCGTCCCCAACGGTGCCAGTTGTCAGCTTCTAAAACTGGATGTTGACTTTCCAACTAAAGGTGGTCAGAGAGGGTGGCCGCATTTTTTCAGATAAAGAGTTCCCTTCAATTTCGTTGCTTTTCAAATGGCAAAAAGAAGGTGAAGAAGAAGGACGATCTTACACCGCGACGGCATGGTGATATTAGTTTTGATTTACAGCTTTTCGGGCTTGTTAAAATCTGCAATAGTCCTGGCGAAATTTAATTTTTACGAATTTTAAACTTTTCAGGTCACGTTCCTGCTCGCCCACACGCTTCGAGCGAAGCTGAAGGCGCTCATCGAGCAGGTACATACAAGTCTTTGATGTGCTTTAACGAGGAATTTGTGATTTGCTATGAGCATCCTGACAGTTCTAAGACGCTAAAATACGAGGAGACACAAAATTGATCGTAAAAATTGCAAAAGAATCAGCGATGAGAGTGATAATTTGATAACATCAGAAGTTATGCGTGTAGCCTTCAAACCATGAAACGTGATCAAACGGTACCCTTTGTATCGCCTTTTTCAAAGAATAGAAATGTTACTCACGCCATTGCAAATTGAAGTTACGACCGCCATGCTTACATGTTTTCTCGGCTTGACAGCGTGTTTTGGTCGCGGTCACGACCACTGGCAAGCCATCATCATCGTCGCG